ATTTATTTTTATTTTATCTTTTAGTTGGAGTCTCACTCCATCACCCAGGCTGGAGTGCAGTGGCACCCTCACGGCCACCCCAGCGTCGACCTGCTAGGCTCAGGCGATTCTCCCGCCTCGGCCTTCCAAGTAGCCAGAACTACAGGTGAGCACTACCACGCCTGGCTAATTTTTTTTGATTTATTGTAGAGATGAGGTCTCGCCAAATTGCTCAGGCTATTCTTGAACCCATGGGCTCAGGCAGCAGTCCCCTCACCTCAGCCTCTCAACGTGCTAGGATTACAGGCTTGAGTCACCGTGCCCGGCCCCTCATGGAACAGTTTAAATTTAAACTAATTAAAATTAAATAAAATGAAAACTTCAGTTCCTCAGTTGGATAACCCACTTTCAAGTGCTCAGTAGCCACTTGTGGTTAGTGGCTACCATATGGGACAGCACAGATAATAGAACATTTCCATCATTGCAGAAAGCTCTGTTGGATCCTGTTGCACTATACTTTCATGGTGGCTTAAGAAGATTTAGTTTCTTACCTAAGTCTTTTTTTGCCCTCCCCACTTCCTCCCTTCCCACTCCCACTCACTCTGTTAATGATTAGCTAGCATGCCTAACTACAGAGGCACCTTGTTTTAAGTTAAATTGATGATTCATCTTCCAAAAACTTACTTGTTTAAATGAGTTCTTCATGGAAAGTGCTCTGACATAGTGATACTGTAGTTTGATGTATAGTTTTTTCCTTCTCTGGTTGCTTCTGTCCATGAGGTAATGCTCAGTGGTTGACTAGATATAACTAGATATTTTATTTCACCTAGCAAGCCTTGCCTCCACGTTGGTCTATTCCAACGTGTTTGCTGACAGTATTTTACTTAATTCCTTTTTTTGGTCAACTTCTTGCAGTAGAGCTAGTACCCATATTAGATGTTATGCTGTTCCTTGATTTACTCATCCTTTTCAGCATGACAGCCAGAAAGTCTTTAGAAACAAATAGTGGAACCAATTAGGCTCTTAAGTGAGACACACCTAAATTAAGATATGAGGACATAAATACAGCTGAAGTGAAAATAGACATAATTTCGAGATTACCCATGCTTTTGTTTCCCTGATTAATTTCTTTGAACCTCAGTTTCTCAAGCTATAAAATGAAATGAAGTAGTAAGTTCTAGGACATTCAGGGTGAATGCAAAAGGAACTTGTGAATTTGACCAAAAAAAAAAAATCTGTTCCTAACTGTAAACCAGGAGTGATAATTTGGATTCAGTTTTTGGAAGTGAGAACTAGTCAAGTGGTTATGGAATATGTGTTTCAAATCTAAAGTTTTCAGAAAGGCAGTTTACCAGTGAAGCCTGCTCTGCCTTTGGCAGATTATTAAGGAGTGTAGTTGTTTTTCAACATTTGCCAGCTCCCTGTTGCTGTCAGTTAGTACTTATTTTATTTTTTATTATATTTTGAGTCAGTGTCTCACTCTGTTGTCTAGGCTGGAGTGCAATAGCATGATCATGGCTTACTGTAGCCTCGAACTCCTGGATTCAAGGGATCCTCATGCCTCAGCCACCTGAGTAGTTGGAACTACTATCGTGCACACCACATCTGGCTAATTTTTGTTTGTTTGTTTGTTTGTTTTTTGTAGAGACGAGGTCTCACTATGTTGCCCAGGCTGGTCTTGAACTCCTGGCCTCAAGTGGTCCTTCTGCCTCAGCCTCCTAAAGTGCTGGGAATACAAGAGTGAGCCACCACACCTGTCAATAGTACTTATTCTTGATATTCTTTTTTTGTTTTGAGTCGGGGTCTCTCTCTGTTTCCCAAGCTGGAGTGCAACGGCACCATCATGGCTCACTGAAGCCTCGACCTCCTGGTCTCAGGAGTTACTGCCGCCTCAGTCTCCTGAGCAGATGGGACTACAGGCATGTGCCACCATGCCCAGCTAATTTTTTTGTAGAGACAAGATTTTGTAGACCTTAGGCTGGTCTCAGCCTCCTGGGCTCAAGCAGTCCTCTTGCCTTGGCCTCCCTAAATGCTGGAATTACAGGCGTGAGCCACTGCACCCAACCAGCACTTATTCTTAAGTGGGTTTTCTTGTTAGGCTTGTTCCTTCCCACATATTTTAATAGACCTCAAAAATAGAATGGGGGGAGAACTGATAGTGAAACAAGGAATTTTTTTTTTTTTTGAGTTGGAGTCTCACTCAGTCGCCCAGACTGGAGTGCAGTGGCGCTCCCGGCCACCGCAGCCTCGACATGCTGGGCTCCGGCGATCCTTCCGCCTCAACCTTCCAAGTAGCTGGAACTACAGGCGCGCGCTACCACGCCCCACTAATTTTTTATTTATTATAGAGATGAGGTCTCGCCAAGTTGCCCAGGCGGTTCTCGAACCCGCGGGCTCAGGCAATCCACTCACCTCAGCCTCCCAAAGGTGCGGGATTACAGGCTGAGCCACCGAGCCCAGCTGAAACAAAGAATTTAAGTGCAGAAATTACAGATATAATAATAATAGGATAGCAAGAATAAAGGAGGAAGTAATTTACCCTGTTCTCAATTTAGCGTTTATTTGCACTTACCATATGCAGAACATTGTACACAATGTGGCAGACCAAAAAAAGGGACAAATGAGTAGATGGCATCAGGTGTTGTGAGTCCCTCCCAAGGAGTTGACATAGTAATTAGGAGACATGTACACAACTGCAGGGGATTAGCACATAAGTAGAGAGCTGAAATTGAGGTGGCAGTGATGATGAGAGCAAAGACAAGAGAAAGATTGGGTTGCTGGGGCAGCCTTAGAAGGCTCTTTGCATGAGGTGATCTGAACTAGGCCTCTAGTAACTAAGATTTTAATAGCTGTTGAGGTAGGGAGGGCCTCCCAAGCCAGGATAATAGCCTGAGTGACGATGTGGACAGAAAATGCCGGTGATAGGTTTATCTAGCGACTTGTAGGGATGTAATTGTGACAGGCTTGTGAGGGTTGGATAGCTCTTTGAGAGAGAGAATGCTGAATCCTAACCACTAGAACACCAGAGATCTGCTGGATAACTCTTTGAATGCTGTGCTCAAAATTTTACATAATAAAATTAATGGAGAAATAAATGAGTTTAGTTACTTCTAAGAATGGAGGCAGAGTCTAACTTTAACCTATGAAAACACTCATATTTGAGATTTATGTTCTTGATGCTTTATGTTCTCCCTCTTGGTTTATTGTAGTGCATGGCTTTGGAAGCCAGCAAAGGGTTGGAGAAGGCTAGAGAAAAGGGTACTATGAGAAGCTATTCATGAGCAATTGATAGTGCAAGATAAACCTACACAATAGAAAAGTTGGGAAGATAGTGTTATAAGAAGGAAGAGTTGACATAAGATGCTCTTGTCTTTTGAATTTTGAGGTATCTGCTGAAAACATTCTTCATTTTCTTCCTGCCAGTGACCTGCATATCCAGCTTCCTATTCAGATTAGCATGCGCCGTATACTACATCTATTGGTGCCAACACATGGTATTGGCATCCTAGAGTAGTAGCTATTATACATGTATTTGATGTATTTAAAGGGACAAGAGATCATTTGCAACTCTAGTTGTGTAAGTCCAAATCTAGGATCATATTTCTAATTCTCAGGTGATCTAGATATGTATTTTTCACGTATTCACCCTTTTGAAGTATACAATTCACCCTTTTGAAGTAAACAATTTAGTGGTTTTTATAGTATATTTACAAAGTTGTGCAACCCATCGCCATTGCCTAATTCCAGAAGGTTTTCATTACCTCGAAAGAAACCCTGTGCTCCATTAGCAGTCACTGCTCATTTACGTCCCCCTGGCCAACCCCTGGCAGCCACAAATCTACTTTCTGTCTCTGTATTTGCCTATTCTGGACATTTATATAAATGGAATCATACAATATGTGGCCTTTTATGTCTAGCTTCTTAGCACACTGTATTTGAGGTTCCTTTACATTGCTGCGTTGCATGGATATATGCCACATTTTATTTATCCATTTAACAATTGAAGGACTTTTTTTTCTTTTTGGGGGGAAGGTGGTTTTAGAATAACATGAGCATGTATTTTTTCATATAGTCTAAAAAACTGACAACTCAGAGGGAAAGTATGGACATTTTTATAATTGTATAATGCGTGTCCACATAAAAATTTTTTTTAAAGAACAAGTTTCATTTTTATTAGACAGTAGGCATGTGGATTACAGAATTCCTTTAGAGGCATGCACAGGGGCTGTTGGGAACACAGGGGAAGGGGGTTCAGTTGGAGATGTCTGGTAGGGGTTTAGAAGGAGCCGAGACCTAACTGCATCTACAAGGGTAAAGAGTTAACCAGATAACAGGAGGGACTCAAAGGGAGGCAAGAGGAAGTATGAAGTCATATAGTAAAGATCTTACTGGGAGATCAAGTGTGGGATGTGACCACCTCACCTTTCCATCATAAGCCCAGCTGACACCGTCCATAGTAGAGAGGGGCCGTAATGGCACACACCTCAGCTCCACCCAGGGTCTTCCTCCTCTCTTCACCCACAGCTGTTCTTCCATTGCAGCCAGTTACCTTTCTGGACTCCATATCTGACCAGGTCACCCACTGTTGAAGCTATTTCAGTGGCTCTTTATTACTCCTAGGGTACAGATGGAAGTCCTTCCTATGACTTCCATGCTACTGCCTGCTACAGGGCCTCTCCCTCCAGTCCCATCTTTCTAGCACATGCTTCATGCTTCAACCTCCAGGTGCTCGGGCCTACCTTGGGTTCTCCTGATCCATGCCAGGGTCAGGCTTCCTTGGCAGACCCCTGGTGTTTTCCTGGTTCCAGCTCCCTCCTCTTTTCTCATCGTTTTCTCTGCCTCCTGCTGTGCTTAGGCTGTGGTTAAAGTTCCTCCCCCTGGGTCAAAATCCCTCTCCAGTGGACTCAGCCTTTGGAATGGCTGCATTCTCAGGACAGCATGTGGGTAAAATGATCACAGTGACATTACTTTGGAACACACCACACTGGAAACCAATGCACAGTTGTCTCTCATCAACACAGGGTAACCCAGCCTCATTTCCCCTGGCATTGGAAGTTACTGCTTTCTCCTTAACTGCAGCTTGGTGAGTGAAATAGTTGGCTTGTGTTACAGGATCATGTTGTATGCAAATTAAACCCACCCCC